TGAGGAAGGTGGGTTGATGTCAATGAATAATATTGTTCAAAATATTATGTAAATTATTAGTTTAAAGATATCAGATTAGGATGTTATTAATATGGTTGTAGGTGCTCTAAAAGCTAGAATTCAATCTTAGCCACTTTAGTAGTTTATATCGTGTTTTGCTGCTTCAGGTGAGTTCTCATGAACTTACTTATTATATAGATTATGTGTTATTCTATGTTGACCACGAAAGACCTTTCGGGGGAAGTGGTCCAAGTTTGGATAATCATAATAGACCCTTTGAGGGAATTGAGCAGTCCCAGTTTGGATTATCATGACCGACCTTTCGGGGGAAGCGATCAGTCCCAGTTTGGATGATCATGACAGACCCTGCGGGGGGAAGTGATCAGTCACAGTTTAGATGATCATGACAGACCCTTCGAGGGAAGTGATCAATCTCAGTTTGACAGTGTATGGGACAGACCATTCGGGGGAATCAGTATGCTGGTGTAGGATTGGTACCACCAATATGTGTTATAAAATTCATTATGTTATGTGATATATTGTAAGTGATATGTGATTTATTACTCGAAGTTTATGTTTTATTATGTGTAATGCATATAATTTGTATAATGGGTGAGTGTTGTGATTAATCATTAGGTTTGTAACGCCCCGTTCCTGGTACGCATTTTTAATTATTATTATTCTTGTTTTTAGAAGCTACTCGACGAGTCAGTAGCCCTAACTCGTCGAGTAGCAGCGGGTCTACACGTGGTTTGAGCGTGCCGACTCGACGAGTCGGTTATTCCCGACTCGGCGAGTCCGCGAGTCTGGATGAAACCCTAAATCCCAGGGTTTGTACCCTATTTAAACGTCATTATAGCCTCCCACCCCAGCCTCCAGCACCTTTAGAGCATTTCTCTGTAAAACCCTAGTCCCCATTGTTGAGCTTGAGTGTTTTGTGGTAGCTTGGGAGTTGTAGAAGAGAAGGAAGAAAAGAAGATCTATAGAAGAGAAAGGAGATCCAAGAGCTAGCTTCCATCTGCTTCATATTCTGGTAATAAAGTTATTACCTTGCTTATTCTTCCATTAAACCCTCTTTATGCTTGTTTATGTCTCTTTTGGAGCTTTATATGATTCAAACTCGAGATTTTGAGCTCTCCTTTGGATGGAGACCATAGATCTGGATGTTATTGAGCTCTAGGAACTCAATATAGCTACCTTTATGCAAATATAGCCTTGTTCCAAACCCTGAGTGCTTAGTGTTGGATGATTTTGGTGTTTTAGCCCCATTCTCGTGTGCATGCACGTAAAGTTTTAAACTTTACGTGCAAAACCAGTCCTAGAAGCCCAGATCTATGAATTGGATGCACTGAAATCGACTAGAATCGACTGTATAAGAATGCATGCAAGAGACTCGGCGAGTCCATGCCGTGACTCGGCGAGTCCAAGGCAATCTTCTTGCCTCAAGAACAGACTCGACGAGTTGTTCATACAACTCGGCGAGTCACAGTCTGGACGTGTTCATATGATGAAGGAGAACTCGAAGAGTTGTTCATACAACTCGGCGAGTCGGATGAAGTTAGATTCGTCGATGGTACGGGAGAAGAACTCGTCGAGCTATTGCCAAACTCGACGAGTTGAAGCGAGTAGAGGTTTAGAAAAGGTGTTAGGGACTCGACGAGTTGGCGGCCCAACTCGGCGAGTCCGGTCAACTGAAAGTTGACTTTTACCAGGAGGTTGACCTGGACCAAGGGTAAATTAGTCATTTTACCTTGAGAACAGTTATCAGTATCTGATTTAGTGTTTATGGAATTTGTAGTCGGGGAGTTCCGGAGCAACAGTCAGCCAGTTTCAGATTTAGCATCTCAGTAGCCAGCGTTACGAGGTGAGTTTTCCTTCCAGTAGGAACGGGTCTACGGCCACAATGTCGGCCCGTTTAGTTAGCAGTAGTTCCAGATTTCGGTCCGATGCAGTAGTTCAGTGTGCTTGATGTCTTCGTGACACAAGCATGTATTTGTGTTATGTGTTCCGGACTTCGGTCCGATGCAGTTTGCAGTATATGTGTTTATGTTAGTAGTTATGATTATGCTATGCTATGTTCAGTTAGTTCCGGACTTCGATCCGATGCAGTTTCCGGACTTCGGTCTGATGCAGAGGGCAAGGCCCTGGTTAGTTCCGGACTTCGGTCCGATGCAGTTTCCGGACTCCGATCCGATGCAGTTTCCGGACTTCGGTCCGATGCAGTGGGCAAGGCCCAGTAGTTGCTTTATATGTTATTGTATGGTATGTGGTAGTTTGGGGGAGCTCACTAAGCTTTGTGCTTACAGTTTCAGTTTTGGTTTCAGGTACTTCCGCTAGCAAGGGGAAGAGCTCAGTATGATGGCATGGTATCAAAATATGATTTGACACTAGTTTCGATTTGATAAGTTTATTATGACATTTTGAGATACACGATTCATGGTTTTATCTTTTAATATTTGATATTATGGATTAGTAAAGTTTTCAAACAAAAATAATTGGGTTGTATTTTGGGATGTTTCAAAGTCGTAGCTTACAGTTGCTACTTTATGTTTTTAGTGGCAGGTCCTTCAAGTATGAATGGCAAGGAGCTGGCATGAGTGGGACATCTAGATTTTTTCGGAGGGGCATATCATCTGGTTTATTTACTCTATGTTGTGTTATGGTTTTCAAACAAGACTTAGCTTCCGCATTTTTAATATAATTATGTTGATGTAACGAGAAAATATGATTTTATGATTTATTAATAATTATGAATAAAACCTTTCAGTAAAACCTTCACTCTGATTAAAAAAATTATGGTTGGATTTTGGGATGCTACATGATCTCTAGAACCGAAGTCATTTCTATATTGACCATGATGGAACGACATATTGTTGAACAGGGTGAAACCAAGAATATATTGTTCGAAAGAATTGAGAGATTGGGTTCATATTCAGTAAGGCCTTCGAAAACTACACCAACTTCATCTTCATTCTTGCAGCCTAGGATCCTGAACTTCAAATCGATGCATCTTTAGAACACCAAGTTGGAGACTTCATATCAAGACAGGTGTCGATCTTCACAGATGGCGCAACTCCTAACACGGGAGGTCCTGTTTCCCAAGATCTTGGATGAATATTCAACATCCCGTCTAATACCCAAGATCTAGGGATAAGTCCAGTTATGGAGAAGGAACTCATGTAATTGAGAGACATGATCTTAAGTGTACCAGACGTGATTCAAGATATACCAGAGGTATCAGTTGTCAGCCATAGGGTCTCAAGATTTGCACCCCCTATTGTGACATTGAAGTCCCAAAGAGGTTTCAGACTCCCAACATGAAGATGTATGATGGGACCACGGATCCTAAGGAACATGTCGCCCAATAAAGAGAACGCATGGGAATTGTTCCAGTCCCCCAACACCTTAAGGAGGGTTGCTTATACAAGGGTTTGGTTCAACCTTTACAGGATCTGCACTTTAGTGGCTCCTAAACATTCCTCCTTACTCTATTACTACTTTCTCGCTTCTCATTAACTTATTTAAAAAACAATTTTCTTGTAGTAGAACTTTTGAGAAACTAACAAATGACCTTACAGAGTAACTCAAGGCAATGATGAATCTTTGAGGATTATGTAAGTAGGTTTGGGAAAGAAGCCCTAGATATTCCACATTTAAATGTTGTAATAGTCATGGAAGCCTTCAAGATGGGACTAAAGAAAGATTCTCCATTTTACAATAATCCTGTCATGACCCCATGCAAGAAATTGGATGAAGTCAGAAGTAAATCAAGTAAACCCCTAAGATTTATTAGGCTCAAAGAAGACAAGAATATCCAAAGAGGATGTGTTGATGAACACATCCTACGATCATCCCAATAGGAAGAACAATTCTTCTTCCCAAAAATCTTACAAAGCTAAACCTTACTCAAGACCTAATAATCATAGGGTTAAATGGTTAATGCTCTGGAAGATGAATATTATCCTAAGATATATGACTATTGTTTTTCTGTTAATGTTTCAGGTTTGCTTTATGAAATGCAAGATCTTGGGGACAAGACAAGATGGCTCAAGAAAAATGACAAAACACCAGGATAGAAAGATAAATCTAAGTGGTGTACTTACCATGAATATTTTGGACATCTTACCGAAGATTGTTTCGCCCTCAGAAAGGAAATCAGCTACCTTTTGAGCAAAAGACATTTAAAGGAACTCGGAAGAAGGAATGACAAGATTAATCAGAAAGCCCAAGATCCTGAAGTCCTTTTTACGTTATTTACAAGGTACTTTGATGCATGGTCTTTTCATATGACTATCATCCGCACACTGTTTGGTCTCATACTCTAATGTAGATTGGGTTGGTTCTCCTTAGACCCATCGGTCCACATCTGAGTTTTGTATCTACTTAGGTGATAATCTTTTATCTTGGTCTTCCAAACATCAACACATAGTCTCTCGATCCGGTGCTCAAGTTGAGTATTGAAGGGTGGCGAATGTTGTTGTTGAAGCTGTTTGGCTTTGTAATATTCTCCTCAAGTTGTCTTGGCCATTAACTAAAGCCACTTGTGCAATGTACCACCTTCTAACACAATACAACACCAATGTACCAAACATGTGGAAATATACTTACATTTTGTTAGGGCACGTGTTGTCATTGGACATGTGTGTTTCACATGTGCTTTCAGCTCACTAGTTTACAAACATATTCTATAATTCTATAATTTCTTTCACAAATAAATAAAAAAAAAGGTCGACGCTCCATGATAATTACATCTGTATGAAAATAATATAAGTTGATGCCATGGAAATGGAATGTGGTTATTCCGCGGCATGGATGGTGAATAAGGCACATGAGCCCAATCAATTCAGATTCAGATGATGCAGTTTACCTTTATTTGTCAGCTTCACAGTCGAGAAATAAAATACGCACACAAACCAAACCACATATACAAGAAATAAAGTGAAAGATGAGATTCAAAGTTGTAATGTTTTTTTATGGATTTTGATGGTACAAAAAAAAAAAAAAAAAAAAAAGTCTACGAAGATACCTAAAATAACCCTGGACTTTTGGTTATTACAAGTAGTACAATACATAAGATAGATACGAAACACGGAAACAGCATCACCATCGCTAGAGTGATGAGCTTCAAAACGGATCTTAACTTCAAGTGTATCTTCTTCTTCTGTGTCCTGTAACAACACAAACACAACAGAAGAAATAACAGATTTAAGTGTTTACAACACAAAAAACAAAACTTTCCATATTCAATATATATAATTATATCCATCGTACAACAAAAAGGGAGAGAGAATAGAGAATAGAGATTACTTACTGTTTGGACGTTTATTGTTTCGACAGAACCTGCTGCCACATCGGCATCGAAACGCCTTAACGGGATGTGTCTCGTCATCAAAATCAATGCCATAATCCTGCATCATATTCAATGCAATAAATAGCAACGTTGTGTTTTATAGCAAGTATTTTTTTTTTCTTATATCTACCCAAATAAATTTAGGATGGATTTTCTAAAGTAAAATGTTGTAATAGAGAGAATGCTATAATAAACAAATTGATGAAATTAATTGCTTAACATAAACAATAGAGTGGGATCCAGAATTCCCAAGAACTCACCCATGTTAACTCTTCTAGGGCTTTCACCTTTCTTGTAGTGAAGAAGGCAAGCTGCAAATACCACAAAAAGATTCACTTACCCCAACATCGATAATAGTAGTATATATAACAATAAGTAAAATAAACATTTAAAAAGTGAGGTAATTTACATACATGATAGTAGTGATGATCCGGATTCTCAACTTCCACGGGAATCTCCACTAAAGTTGGATCCCAACACCTACCAAAACAAATATGTAATTGAAAATGACTCTTCAGCACATCTAGAGTGTTTTTTTTTTATTAAGAGAAGCACGCTATAATTAGGAAGATTACCGATGATTGATGAATCTAGCGACATTTCCATAATAGGTGGCATCCAAACAAAGAGCTTCTTCATCCTTTAATTCACTCTCTGCAGCCCAATCAGCATCAAGATTCACTGGATAAGCATGTTCATCTTTATTTGAACTTTTTTGAACTCGATCATACAGTTCTGCATTGGTCAACACTTCTCCAACATATTCACAAACAAAAGCACCTTTAGGTAGGTCCTCAAGTGTCCTCAGACCCCACCCTTTTCCTCCAGGCGTCATAAACACCTACAACAACAATAAAATTTTACAAAATGAATCTCAACAACATATATATATATATATATATATATATAATATTAATAAGATATTATACCTGTAATTTACGTTGTATACCACGTTGTACTACACGATTACCACACTGTTTATTGCATCCACATTTTAACCAACATTCTCTTATAAAACTCCTTACAGAATGTCCTTTACATGGTTCTGTAATCCCCTCATTTTTTGATCTTTCAAAGTGGACACTCCTTACAGTAAAACAAACAGTGCTTTTGAGGGTCCCGGTTCATTTTTATACACTCATCTAAAAGCGTCTCTTTCACAAGACCCTCTTTTGTGTATGCAAACTCACCACCAGACTGCAGTGCACAAGCACAAACCGTTGATGATGTCAGACAATCACCAAAACAAGTGGAACAACAATTGTCATCGCTGATTCGTGCAAGTGAAAAGTTAACATATGCATTCTGGAAAACTGCATTTTGGGGAATGTAATGGAAAGATGGAGGACACTCGTTGTTCACATCATTCACCAATGAAATTATTACCGATTCTTGCCCTTTAGCTATGTCATTCACATCATGGGTAGACCTTATGACATCAGAAACTGACTCTGTATTATTATGAACACCATTTTCACAATCATCTTCGGTGACCCTTTGACTTTCATTGACTGAGCCATTGGTGTCGGATGGCATGTCTTTAGTGTCTGGATCAGCTACACAACATCTTCCAGATGGTTTAGCAGGTGGTGTAGAGGTGGTTTCATTATCCAGAAGACACTCACACATATCTTTCATCAGTTTCTTTATGGAAATACTTGGGTCCAGGAGTTTGACCGAATTAAGACATTTATCTTCCATTGTTTTCAATACAGAATCCACATCTGTGATGGATATGTTAGGTTTTCCTACAATATTACAGGTCAAAGAAATCTTGATTTCCCCAGATGATGAGGAAGCAATATCTAATTTTGTTGTTGACTCATCATTGACCACTTCAAGCGGTTGAGCAGCCTTGCTGACTGGACCATTTTCAGTTGAAGAATCTCCATTATTGGTCAATGACTCTGTAAGTTTAAAAGAAAAAAAAATACATAAAACACTTGTCACTCCATGAAGATGCTATAATATAAACAAGAAGTACCTGGTCTTATCACTGCAAGAGGCACCACAACCGTTGATGTGTTGTCATCTGTGAGTGGCTCGTCTTTGGGCTTTATTAATGCAAGAGGGCTCTGCTTCACCTTTGGCTCTTTAAACCTCACTCCATGGGATGATGGCCTATCAGAAATTGACCTCTTTTCTTGAAAACCAGTTTGAGGTAAAAGAGGTTCTTTCCCTTTGTCTTTCGGATGCCTTGATCGGATAGCAGAATCGCCTCCTGTTTCATTTGTGACATCTGTTTGAGTGTTACAGTCTGAAACAGGTTGCTTCCCCTTGTTTCTACTTTGTGATTGAGGTGAAACAAGCTGAGATTCATTAGTTTTGGCATGTGATCGAGTCCGGGGTATAGCATAAGGAATGTCATCAATCTCCACTTTTGGCTTTTTCAGTGGTGTTCCATTTGAATTAGGGCTGGAGGTGGTGCAAGAGGGAGAAGCATGTCCATCTTGGTGCCTTAAACGCAACCGCTTTAAAGGCCTTTCTGGCTCTTCTGGAATTTGTGTTTCTTCTTCTATAACTTTCATCCGTTCAGCTAGCTCGCGTTTCTTTTTCTGTTCTAATGCCTGAAAAAAGATGTCAATCAAATGTTAGATACTCATGCTATAAACTGTTTAAAACACCATGAATGGTTTGTATCTACTTACTTCAGCTTCAGCATTATCATGCTTTTTCTTCTGTTCTGCTGCCTCTGCCTCCTCGCTGTCAAAAATAGCATCTGCAAGTGCTCGATAATTTTCTTCTTCAATAAGCTCCCAATTCTTTTCATAGAGTTTAAGAAGGTTTTTCAGCACTGGTTTTGTTTTCTCTTCAGGAATCCCGATCTCTCTCATAGCACGAAAGGCTTTTGCAACTCTGGGATTGGGAGCCATCACTAGCTTTGCAGGTTTTCCTAAAACAGATTCAGACTATCCAATACACCTGCAAACCAACAGCAACTAATTAACAATGGATTGGCTTATTTCATCACAAATCCGATACTTCTATGAACCTTTTTTGAAACTAATTAACTTGACTGGTCTATCATACTTTCATATGTTCCTAAGGGAATGAACTAAACAACAATCCCCATGGTATAATGAATCAAACATTACCAGGACATTCATTATGGCTATAGTGTATTGAGGTAACACAAACTTTACCTCTATTCTAATATCCCCCAACTCCAAGAAGTATGCTATGAGGAATGAATTAGTAACAATAGCCCTACCAAGTAAAGCGCCTTGTGTATTAGTTTAGATCCGTGATTCCATGAACCTGAAACTTTTACAGAAGATAAAAAATAAATGTCAGAATCAGCTAAACTCAGACTCTACTTAATCAAGTATGGGAAACATAAATCAAACTAAAGTTTACAACATATACCAGCATAAGTATGTTACAGTGTCTTATCCTACAGCCTGAGGGAGCTAATTTCATCTTAAATTGATGCACATTACATTAAAACACTTTAACAGGCAACAAAAATAGAATAATGTTACCTTAAATCCTAAATAAAACATATCTTTTAGCATTGGGAAGTGACAGGTGTTACATCAAGAGTGGATCTTTCTTGAACAGAAGGAACAACTTTGTTGCTAAAAAGGAACTTCGGGATTACCATGAGTAAGAAAAGTAATGAGCTCAAAGGAAAAACTTTTAAAAACTAGATAAACCCCAAAACGGTGATTAATAAACCTTGAGTCGTCTTCCCCTAGAAGCTGGTGCATTACAAACAGATTAACCTAAACTGATGACCAACAACCCAATATTGATCAATAAATCAAACCAGTAGCTTCAATTAACAGAAAACGAACTGCGATTGAACAATGTCAAAGCACCTAAACTCAAAATACTTGAGATTAAGTAACGCAACTAAAAACCACAACAAAAGACGAGTATAGCACGTACAGCCCGATTAAGCGGTGACTAGCCAAAAAAAACAGGGAAACGGTCGATGAAAAACACAAAAGAGAAGTTATTACTGGAATTGAGATTCAATTCTTATGCATCTCCTCACCAACAGCGTTCTGAGAGCGATTCGCATCGATCTCGAAAAGGAAGGAGGACAATGTGTGTCCTTGCAAGAAATTAGTAGGGCACAGATAATGGGGAAATTTGGTAGGGCACGTTGGAAAACCCCCGTTTAATTTGCACGGAAGATCTAATGTTTACACTTTAGCCCTCAGACTATAGCGTTCTTTGTGGTTTTTAGGTCATCTCCGATCTATTCTATTGACCTTCAAAATATGGGGAAACGATATAAATTTCCAACGAATTTTTTAGAGTTGATCCTTTTATTCCATAAACTACTTTTGTGGCTTTACGAGGAAACCAACTCGTTGACAACCTGTCTTTTAGTCTTCTTTACTTGTTTTAGCCGGTTTGAGTGGCACTTAGACAAAACTCTCTCTCTCTCTCTCTCTCTCTCTCTCTCTCTCTCTCTCTCTCTCTCTCTCTATATATATATATATATATATATATATATATATATATATATATATATATATATATCTCCAACCATGATCGACAACACTGAAGATGGAAGAATAGCCACAAGTTCATATAGCGACAATGCATTGTTCCATCAAACTTTCGATTGTGTTACTACGACATTTTGAATTAACACGTCAAAAAAATGTGTATAGTTTATTGATCTCTCATGGTAGCTATATTTTAACAAGTAATTAAGATGGTTATTTTATACTTAAGAGATAAATACGATCATTAAAACACCACATGTGTATTTGAAAAATGACCCACAAATCGAGGGCACTTCTTGAGGATCAAGCTGACGTTCATTATTGACATCGACACGCAACATATCCTTTCAGTTAGCTGCTCTCGACATGTATAAGTTATTATTCATGTTGAACCTCACTATCCTTCTTTAGACCCCTTGTACAAGACTAATTTTTTGTCTATATGACTATATGTCCTGCTCGTGAAACTCACGCACCACCTTCAACATTTCTTCTAGTACTTTCATGTCTATACGCCAATACTTTTTTTGTCTATATGACTATACCCTCCTTTGAATCGCCATTGAAAGACCTTCCTAAAGTGTCTTTTTTTATTGGTGTACATTTGGGTTTGGGTTTCAAGTGTTAATTTCAGTTGAATGTTTTGGTTTGAGGTTAGGATTTGATTTTAGTTTTCATGTTTTAATTTTAGTTTAAGGTTTTAGGTTTTAGTTGGTGGCGGTAGCAAGAAGATGGATAAAAAAAAGGTAGGGCATGGGTGGATGGTAGTGGCGGCGGCGGTGGTAATATTGGTAGATGGTAAAGGTAATGGTGGTGCACCGTGGAGGTAATGGTGATAATGCATGAAACCTAGAGAAACTAAACGTCGACTACCTACCATCGGGCACAGCCTAGAATAACCATATCGAAAAAACAGACCAATCGAAAGAGATTGAGAAGATCTAAAGAGTAGCTTAGTGTAACATTCGAGTTAGTGGTAAGTTTCCTTTTAGCCTCTTTAATGAAAATTGTTAACATTTTGGTCCCTGGCTAGTACACATGGCGTACTTTATAAGTACGCTTAGCGTACTAGCCCATTAGCTGATCGTGGGTTTCACCCACGTATGTGGGGCGTACGTATAGTACGCATGGCATACGTGATGCAATCAAGAGTCCTCTGTTTATCCTACATGACTATATACAGTCCCTAAGGCATCCATCTACTAACAGATAACCAAAACTAGTGGGTCGACATTGGTGCCTTCGACCCACGAGTACAGTGAGGCGAAACTCACCTAAATCGAAGAACTTTGAACACTGCGATACGACCCCTTTTTCAGTATTGTTTGCTCCCACGAATCCACTAACACCAAAACCAGATATAATCTCAATCAATAGCCAAAAATCCTCAAGTTTGGACCAAAGTCAAACTTGGTCAAAAAGTCAACTGTCACTGGTCAACAAAAGTCAACATTCAACAGACCCTCACGACGTGACCATCTGTGGCTCACGTCGTGAGCTACTACAGGACAAAACAATCGAGTGGGGCAAACCCTAATTTTTTAGGGTTTGCACCCTATTTAAACATCATTATAGCACCTCTTAGACACTTTGTAACATCCCAAAATTCAAGACCAAAAATTTCATTTTAATTAAGTTATTATATAAAACCAACAGTATAAAAACATTCATAATAATATCTCATGTCAAAATCAAAGTGTCAATAATCAAAACATATTATCATAAAACCATATCAGAGTGTAATCCCAAATATCTCATGTGCGGAAAACATAGTGTGATGCGTTGTGATCAAGCCGGCTCCTTTCCTTTGAAAACGAGTACCTGAAACCAAAACTGTAAACTGTAAGCACGAAGCTTAGTGAGTTCCCCCCATTATACCACATACCATACAATTCACATACTGTCAGGCATACCGGGGTGCCCGACCTACCCCATGTCAGGCATATATGGGTGCCCGACCTACCCTGCTGAGCATACCGGGGTACTCAACCTACCCCCCTGTCAGACATATCTGGGGCCCAACCTACCCCTTCGGTCATATCGACCGGTAATCGGGGACTATTTCACCCCTACTACTACCAGATAATATCATATCACATATATCATAATTTGTCTAACATTATTGGCTACTAAACTACCCCTTCGGCCCTATCGACCGATAACCGGGGACTATTCCCCCTACTACGACTATCATATAACATCATATCATGCTAGCACATAAAACATATCATGTAGTGACAAACCCAAGTAATTATCACAAAGACAACTACTCGACAAACAATCCCTACTAGTGGGCCGACATGGTGGCCGTATACCCACTTCTACTGGAAGGTAACTCACCTCACACTGCTGAAGTCCCGCAGACCCGACCCCAGCTACTGGATGACAGATTCCCGAACTGTCAACATCAAAATAACACCCAGTTGATAATTGGGTTCCAACACATAACCATAAGTCCATGCTTGGGGTAAAAGACTGCTTTACCCCAATCTTAGCTTGATCCAAGCCCAAGGCCCAATCCATTCCATTTCTTTGTTGTTTCATTCTTTGCAACCTCACATATCTCAAAAAAGTAATTCAGAAATCCATCATACAATAGAAAATGTTTTATAAACTCCTATAAGGGAAGAAGAAAAATAAGACTAAATGAGTGTATGGTGTTAATCTAATTATGATGTTCTTTCATCTCTATTTGCATGTTTCTAGCTTGTTTGCAGTATTGTCTATAAAATATTGTTGTTATATTCGAAAGTTCATATTACCCTTTTCATCTTTTTGTGTGTATATTTTAATCTTTCAGGTTTTTTAGAGTATTTGAGGGACCGTTTCTGCTTGGGAGTGGGGTGAAGTCAAGGGCCCTAAAACTAGAGGGTAGTTGTATTTAGAGCCACTTAAATATTGAAGATTTTTGTTGACATTAATTTCAATAATCATATGTACCTTAGAAGAGATATCATAAGTATACTTTATTTTTTAAAACATTTTTTGTATTTTTAATAAATGTTGTACATGTGATGTCTACAATGTGTTGATATTTTTTTGTTGGCAAGTTATTACGCTATCTAACACCCCAATAATCTATAATATTTGTATAAGATGGTGACAATTATTATTTTTTATTGCAACTTCTCTTCATATTGATTATCCAATGTGGTATGAGTTCTGGAATGTTGCCACTGAGAGGATTCCACATTGTGTGGCGTTGGAATTCATTACAAAATGAGGCATGATTTATATGCCTTATTGGGTATTGATGGAAATGTTTAATTCTTGCTCATGTAGATCGATAAGTATTTTGCAATATGCTCTTTTCACCTTATATTAGGACATTTTCTGAAAAAATTTGCTTTTAGTATTGAACTTTGAAAGAAAAAAAAAAGTTCATATATAGCATTGTACTCTTAAAAAATTACTTTTTTGGATTACTTTTAGTTGATATGGAAAGTTACATTTTTTGAATATTGAAGATCATTTAAAAGATTGTTTTCTGGAAAAAAAATATTCATTAATAGCATTTAACTTTGCAAAAAAATTCATTAATAGCATCGTAGTTTCAAAAAAGGACTTTTTCGTATTCTTTTTGGCTAATCTAGAAAAGTTTTATTTTTTATGTACATTAGAGTTCATTAATAGGATTTTTTTGAAAACATTTTGTTAATGGAAAATACATTTTCATTTTCTTTCGCATATAGACCATTTATGTAAAAAAAACAATTTAAATATGGATCATTTATGTACTTTTGTTCACAAGTGAACCATTTATGTAATATATAAATTTAAATGTTAATTAGTAGGTCGTTAATATGACAATTTTCTAAGGAAATTTTGATTTTGGTATTGAAATTTGCAAAAAAAAAAAAAAAGTTCATTAACGGCATTGTACTTTAAAAAAAATATTATTTTGGATTATTTTTAGATGATATTGAAACATTTCAAATTTTCCTACATTGAAGCTCATTTGTAGGACAGTGTTCTGGAAGTGAATCTCATTAATAGCGTTGAACTTTGCAAAAAAAAAAATCATTAATAGCATCGTACTTTTAAAAAATAACTTTTTGGAATTCTTTAACTGCAGGTAGATTCCTTGAATGCCTACCTTGATGAACATATGTGGAGAAATCTTTTTGGAAAAGGATAAAATCCTGATATGACAACCCGAACAAGAAAAAGAAAAACCCAGTTTTGACTAACACAATTTATTCAAAATCTTTATTCATTTTAGTAGCTTACACACCATTTAGATGCTCTCAAAATAGCATATGAAATAACTTATGTAATAATGCTAAAATGTTATTTGACATGTTTTGTACTTTCTAATGATCATTACCAGGAAACCTTTGAAGGATTTTTTTACCAGAAAGAATGTGATCAATATACAAAACAATGATGCATATTCAGAACCTAATGTTCTTAATTTATTGTAATAAGGTCTTCTTGTAATAGTTGATTGACCCTACCCAACTATCCCATGCAAGGTAGTGGATTTATGTTGTTCTAAATGTGTTAAAATGCTTCACTTAGGTGTTACTCAGCACATGGTCTGCGGACTATCCACATTGATTTCATGATTGAGAAGAACACATCACATCGACCAAGATCAGACCATCAACCATATTAGTGACCCCCAC